TCTCGGACAATGGTTTTTCGGGGTCCACGGGCTTTGCGGTGAGCTCGAACAAGAGCTCCCAGGCTGTGTCGAACTCTGGGGACTTCCTTTGGCATCCTCACGAGTCGCTAGGCCTCCAGTCACCACGGGACACTTTATCAGAGAAGCTGACCTGACTGGTCACCCTCGTGAACAGGGCAAGACGTTAAGGCACTTGCAATCCAGGACCAAAAACAGCCTAACAGGTTCGTCAGGGCTGGGTCTTCGGAGCATCCTTTCCTCAGTGCGTGCTCACTGTTGTCGACGAAGCAAGCAACGTCTCCTGACAGGACCTCGGAAGCCACTGCTTCCAACCAGAAAATGAACGCCTTTAGCAGTGGCGGCTCCGGCCAAAAGTTCGTATGGCATAGACGATCTGTAAGCCCACTTTATGCCTCAGTTGCTGAAGAAAACGGCTCCCAGGGCGTTCGACGACCCCTTAAGGACCTCAAGTGGGGTGGTATGTTGTGGCCAGCGAGAAGCTGCCTGACGGGTACCTGCAAGTGTCACGAATGCGTCAGCATACAGCTGTGGTCGCTGCGGCTGGAGCACTTTCTCAAAGGGAAGGAGCGGGGCTGATTCGAGGGTAGCACAGCTGGAGTGCTGACGGGAGTAGACTGCTTTCAGGAGGGCTTTGCCGACGCCTCCGAACACCCACGAGCACACAATGTTGAGCTTCCCTGCCAACTGTGCTGCTTCGTCTTGGCTAAATGAATCTGCTGATGGGGCTTTTCGTATCAACTGGCCCAGTTTCTGGATCCTGCTTTCGCTGGGCCCAGCAATGACAGCATCTTTCAAGATGTTCCACACCACTCCTAACAAGGTAGAAGTCAGTCTTGGTTTCTGCGCCTTGCTCTTCATAGTGAAGAGCAATGACTGGATGGAGCAAAAAACTGCTGAGTCCTGACTGGGCAGTCCTCGACGGTTCACTGTTTTAAAAGTCGTCTACGACATGGGCAGCAGGCAGGAAAACCAACGCTAACGTGAGGAAGCAGATTATGCTTCTGCGATGCGGAGATAGGCTCAAACGCTTCCTGTGCCCCCGAACAGGAGGACTAAGTGGTTGAACACCTGTGGTCCCTGTTCATACGGGATGAACACAAGGCACTCGGCTGGGTCTTTAACGGACAGGGCCTTGTAGGCCCCGTCGTGGTCCAGGGCCGCTAATATGGCTTCCCCAAACTCAGCCGCTGACTGGATCGAGCTGAGCACAGTCTGCCTGCCCGCATAGGGAGGAGAGTCGGTCACAAAGACAGTGCTGTTATGTCCTGACCCTCTCCAGTCGTCCGCTCTACGGACATTGTCCTGTTGCACTACCGGGAAGGCACTGGATGCAAACGCTGCCGGTTCCTCTGCAGCTCGGCGAGGCTCGAACGGGCCTTGGAACCTGGTCTTCGTTTTTTCCACGGCTGACATGGCACGAGCATGTTCAGGCTGAGCTCAACGAACTGGGATTTGGCCAGGGGTCTGCTGTACTTCTCGTCCTGACGGACGTCCCCACTAGTTCCTGGCGGCAGGGATTGGTACCTGGAAACTCGAACAATGTCAGCACGTGCGACGCGACAAGGGGTTCGAGGATGTACTTGGCTCCATCCTGTCGGTACACAAGTCGAACATGAGCAGGCGAGGCTTCTAACCAATGGTCCTGCTCGTCCTGCAGCTCTTCGCGGAGCTTGCTCACCTCAGATTCTGGCCGGGAAATTGAAAGTCTGGCTGCTGGGGCGCGCAGCGAAGGTGTTCGAAAGGGTCGTCTAACGGCCCTGACAAGACGCGCAGTTCAGGCTGGCGAGTGTCCCATTTGTGACCGGAGTTCAGCCAAATTGCTCATTAGAGGCCTGCCTCCTAACGGGCTGAGGTCCGAGCTCCATGGCAGGGCTCCGAACGAGGGTTCCACTCGTCGACCGCCCAAGCTGTCACCCGGACGGCGTTGCAGGCGTCAGCGTCGGGGTAGTCCACGGTCCCTTAAGAAGACCAGGGCACGTTCCCGATACTGATGAGTGATGAGGAGGGTACTGCCGCGAAGCGGCCATCCAACGTCGGATCGTACCTGGGCTTTCGGTACGGCGTCGTTATCCGGCACGGGTACAGGCACCTAGCTGTCTTCACCTCGTGGTGGAAGGTCGCGGATGTGCACTCTGAGGTACACTGATGTGGAGCTGGGGACTAACTGCCAGCACCTGTTGAAACATCTACACTTGGCAAGTCCAGCCAGCACCGGTGGCGGCAGACTGGTGTCATCGGCCGGGGGCTCGATTGCATTCGACCACCAGTCTTGGCCTGGAGCCAACACGCCAAGAGGCTGCGTCGATCACGAGGATCCGTACCGCACTAACAGCTGGTCGAGCTCCTTGCGCAGGGAGGCGATGGGCGATGGGGATGATGTTCTCTAAGAAGAGAATGCGCTGGTATTTCAGAGCACCACGGAAGGTCTGGTCCTACACCACAGCCGAAGCTTGCAACCTTCGGGGCCGCTGAGACCCGGTTGGGAAGGCCTCACTTGGCTAAAGTCAGCGCAAGGGAGCTGGCCAAAACAAGTGTGTCTGACGAGCACTGAGCGTGTATTTGTGAAGCAACTTCCAAAGGGTCGGCTTTTGTAGCGTCGCCACGGCGGTGCACCTGACGGGTGTGTGTGAGGATATCACGTTCTGACCGTCGGGTTCCCCAAACCGCAAAAGAATGAGAGGACTGATGCAGCGGGAGGCTCCTGTGACAGAAGGTGCTGCTGCGCTTCTGGAGCTCCCTGGCTGGGACCGAGCAAGGGTGGCTGCAGGTACGTGGGCCGAGGAGGTGAAAGGACGAAGTTGGGACGCTCCAAGTCCAGGGTGGCAAGCAAAAGGAGTGTGGATAAGACAGCGCTGACGAGCTGTGGATTTGCTCGACCTGAAGGGAGCAAAGCACACGGGCTAGGGGTTGACCGGGGTTGTGCTCGACCTGATGGGAGCACCGCAAGCACGGGCGAGGAGGCAAGTAAGGTTGGCGGTGGAGAAGACGGGAAACAGAGGGGCTGGCAGCAGGAGGTGAGGAGCCGCGGGAGTTGGAGGAGGCCGGCTGACAGGTAAGGTTGCGCAAGGGTCGTGGACCTCGGTGCGCACCCGACAGAGTGCAGGCCGTTGGCGGCGCAACTAACTGTTGTCGTAGCACCTTCACACCCGAAGGGTGCAAGCACTCACGGGTTAGGGTTAAAGCAACGGCAGTCTGAGGATTCTGACTAGAGAAAAGTGTTGGGCGCCCTCGAAGCGGGCACCACCTGCGAAGGAAGACGGCTTGTGATTGTGGAGTGAGTGGTGGAAGTTGGGTCGGCTCTCACTGGTGTGCCAAACAGCGGGCCGTCCCTAAGGACGGGACGTCAAGGACAGAAGTGCGACTGGCAAGACCGGTACGGACTGACTTGCCTGTACCTGCTGAGTCAGTCGTAGTTGGGCACGCACTTGAGGCTTGAGGGCAACGATTCGGGTAATCTCGAGCAAGGTTTTGCCAATACTCTGCCCACGCTGACATCGCACCATCGGGAAAAAATCAAGGCCCATTTGATTGAATCGATTGCATCTAACAGGTCACCAACTTCTACGGTTCTGGCTCATCCAGGATGAGTTGGACTTGTTGTCGGAGCGATCATCCTGGCGGCTACCATCTCAGTGTCGAAGTCGAAGCCAGCACGGGCGGCCACGTCACTGAGGTCTGGCAGAGCTGGAGGGCTGGTCATGCTGCTCTTCGGACGGGTCGGAGTCTGTGCCTGACTCTAAACCTTGTGCTTGATTCAGAACAGCTGCTGGGATAGGCACTGTGGCATCTGACAGGAAGCAAAAGCCAAAACGTGTGTAACCTGCAAGCACTGACGAGTTGCGTCGGGTTGAGCTAGTGCCGGACCACCACTTCTACAAGCGGCCACCCGAGACTCACAGGCAAGCTGTCCTCGCTCGGGGATGGGAGGTGGCACGTCGTGGATCTGGGGTTGTGAACTAGCAGGGGTCAACAGGGCCTGACGGTTGAAGCAAGCTAACATGCACAGCCACTGCGGACGCTGCTTTTTCGGGTAGCAAGACTGCAGCTTCATGGAGCTACCGCAACACAGCACCACTCCCCCACCGCCCCACCTCGCTGTATGTAGGGCACATCCAAAAACGAACGTGCAAACATCCGCCACGCGGAACACATGCTGAGACCATCTAGCTAAGGCTTCGGGTCCCCCAGGAGTCAAGTTGCTCCTGTTGCAACACGAATGCACACGCCCGAGCTAACATGATGACCTGGTGCTTGGAGGCGATCTCCACCTATCTGGAGCACGGCGTGGTACACGCACAAAACGTGCATACCGCTGCTGCACTGGCACTTGTGCAAGGCTGTGCCAAACAGCTCAGGTGGCGTTGTGTCCTGACAGGTAGCGTCGTGCACCGGGTGGCAAATACACTGGTGTATTCTGTAGCAGCCTTTGGCGACTGACCGGCTCATCAGTGCAGCCGACCTGGCACGATCAGCTGGTTCTCACTGGCCTCACACAGAACCTTAAATGCTGCCAGCACAACATTACTAACGTGACTCTGTCCTGACATGACTCGGCAGCGCGAGGCTCTGTCTGAAAAGCTGAAAAACTCGAGGTGCAACGGCTTCAGCAGCTGCTTCTCTGTTTGCTTCCTAACTGGTAGCAAACAACAAAAAACTTTCACACGCCTAACTTGTCACTGTGTGCACAACTGCACTGCCCTACAAAAGGGGATGCTGCCGCAAGCTTCCTCAATTTCACAGCTGTCTTCTCAGTCCTCCGTGCGAGCCAAAGGCACCGGGGAGTCGTGGTGGTGGAGGAAATGTCGGAAAAAAAAATCCCAACCAAGCTCTGTCTAACAGAAGGCCTTCCGCCCTCCATTGTTAGTGCGGCAAAGCTTTTGGAGAATGCATCACCTTGGCTTGCATGGTGGGTACCAGTTACAGCTGCTAGCGCACTATGCGGAAAAAATCGTAGTTTGCTGTGCAAGATGAAGGAAAGCCTAGAGGAGCCGATCGAATGCTCTTGTCAAAGGTCGTGGCAGCACTTGTCTTGCCGCTCGACGATTCAACAGCTCGTCTGTTGACCTGGCTCCATGTGCTGATAATCTCGGACGTTGACTAGTTGATAACAAAAACGACATCGCTTTTCGTCGAACCCACATAGCGCATGTCCTTCCGTGACCGCTGAGTTAACTCTACCCTTCTTTGTATCCTGGCCTGTTGCGGCTGCCGGGTAGCCCTAAAGCTCTATCCTTTCAAAAGTACTTCCTGAAGCCAGATAACACCTGATGCAGATTTCGGAAAGCAGAATTTAAGCATACGTGATGAAATTTTCTACTTGCTCTGACTGCAGCAGACACAACTAGCCGGCCTGGAGCAGCATCTCTCGACGACTTGATGAACAAGACGTCGGGCAGCTGTCGCATCAGGATCTGCACCACGTCCTGACCACAGCACTGGAACCACCATCTGCTTCTGAAATCCCGTGCAATGTGCCCATTGTACTTGGAGCCTACCACGACAACGGCCGCCGACAGGGACCCTATTTTCGCGCAGCCTGCACATGCTCAGTGCTCTGAGGCCTGCAGAGTCCTCACCCTTCTTCGCTGTAGCCGTTGTAGGGACTTGCTTCGCAAGATGTCCTGAATGGCTCAAGAGCTCAACGAGCGGACGAGGTTGGCAGCTACATACGCTGGCGATAGTGTGGTTCTGGTCCACTGCAACGTTTCTTCGCAGACTGCCAGTTAAGGAATGGATGGAAAGGAATGGGCGAGCACCTTGGAGATGCTCAGCAACCGCTCTAAAGCGAAGTTTTCGAAGGAACGCATAAGGAGGCACATTGGACAAAAGCCATCCCTTTGCAAATCCTCGGCCTGAACGGCCGGGGGAGCTCTGCACGGCCGCTTCCAAGTTCCGCACGCTTCCCTCGATGGCCTGGCGACGAAGTGTGCTGGAAGTAAAGGCTCTTTGCTTCGCCTGGCCTGCGTCCATCGATCAAGTTCATCCGGCTGCAACCTTGTCCAGTGGTTCCTACTGCAGCCCCGAAGCTCAAAGCAGATGACGAAGGCCCTTGGATGCTTGTGCTTTTCCTCAAACGAAGTGGCACAGCACGAGAAGTACCAACTGTGCGCACGAGAACGCAACCAGCAATCTGTTCGAGCGAAGGATGCGGAACTGCTCCTGAGATGCCGACGTATCGAAGTACACCATCCACCGCGCCTTTCCCGCCTAGGAATCATTCAAGGAAGTTCCAGCAGTTGACAGCTAATCTTCACGTCGCCTGCGGCTCGAGGTCCAGCACAAAGCCAAAAGGTCTTGTTCGACCTGCAGCATCCGGCCGGCCACAGATAAGGCAAACGCCAGCACTCAGAAATCCGAGATCGCAGCTGTACAACACCGACTGTCCCGGAGCACCCGGCGCCTCGTCACAAGGAAAAGAACCGGTTACGATATGATACGATTCGCAGCTTGCCAGGCCACCGTGATTTCATCACTGCGTCGCGAAATTTAGGCAATAGGTTTCGCCGCCCATCCAACACTCAGAATAACGTGCGCTTTTTGCACCTGGGGTCTCTGTTCCTGACTGCTGGTTGCAACAGCCGCTATTCGGAAACCCAGGGTCTCGTCCCAGAGATCGTGGGGAAACTCTGAAAATCATCTCAACTTTCCCACAACCACTGCAAGCTCTCGACGGGGTCCTGTGTGGCCCCCAAGCCTCATTGCAGGATCCCAGGCACAGGCCTTGAAGGGCACGACTTTGCTGCCCGCGTTCAGCTCGAACGCAGCTTTGGGCGACAAGCAGGCCTGCGAAGAGTCACCATGCAGTGCTTGGTGCTACATCCACTGCTCACTCCTTCCTGCTACTGTTGTAGCGCACACGCACGCATGGGTGACTCAACAACATCTCGAGGCCTCGTCCTGAAAGGTTTTCAGCCGACCATGTTTAAGAACAACCCAACGCCTCTGCCTCAGACAGATGCTCCCGAAAATGAACTCGGAGGTCACAGCGGCGATTCACTTCGGCTTTGTCACATCATGACCGCATATATCTGCTCTTGACCGTTCCCTTTTTGCAAGAAGCCGCTCAGCCGCATGCCACTTGAAATCCACCATTGGGCCACGCCTGCCGAAACGCATAACGTCATGGGGAGCGGAACCATTCCGATGTGGTAGGTCATGGACGCCATGGCCATGGAAGCCATCCAACTTTCTAATTAACCAGTACTGCATGGGCAGCAGAAGCATGCATCACCGATGAAAGGTCGGACACGCTCCGGCAATCCGTAAGCATCATCCAGCCTCTCGACCCATCCGGCGATCTCATAATCCTCCTTAGATGCCCCATACTTTGCGCAATAATTCGACTAAGCCACTTGACTCTCAGATGGAATTGGCTTTTCTGCTTCCCGTATTGGAACCATCAGTTAGCCCATGAGTCTCGCCCACAACAAAGACACCCACCATGAACAAGGAGATCCCTGCACCCCGCGCCAAACCGCGGGTTGGGACCGCTTCTCAACCAAAAACGCCCTCACTCGAGAGAGCGAAATTGGCAGGGGTCTCTTGCAAGTGCCTCCTGCATCCTTTTTTGACCGAGTTGTCGCACGGTATCTTTGAGCACGGCTCGAGTTCTGGCCACTCGTTGCTACGCGAGTGCACAGAGGCTCGTTGGGACTGTGCACAAGGCCCGGATATCCGGGGCATCTTGACAGTGTCAAGCAATCAAGCCTGTCAACAGACCTTTTGCTTGTGGTCTGGCATAGTGCCGTGTGTGCTTCCTGGGCAGTTCCGCCAGGAGCCTTCGCGAGAAAGAGACTGGTGGCTCTCGCTCACCTTAAGCCGAAATTGCGGATTCTTTTACGTCCCTCGAAGGAAGGCAAGCTGAGCCTCCAATTCACGCTGTTGAATAGGAAAAACAGCATTAAAACCTCCATGGAAGGTCGCTGGTCAAAGACAGGCGCCGGGTAGTGTTGAATGGAGCAGGTATGCGCAGGTCGTGGTTACAGGACAAGTTTCCTGTGTCCTATCCGGCACCTCCCGAAACAGCGATACCTGGAGCTCGCTAGCTGCTTGATCTTGCTTGTACTTCTTCGGGTTCGCTCTCGGACTCTCAGAGCTCCTGCTTCGCCGCAGCTTCCAGTTTGGGGATGATCTGCTTCCTCGGGAACTTCAGACACCGCTCGCTCTAAACCGCGCACGCCCTTACAATCCAACCCATCCTAAATTTGAGCAAGCATCTTGCGCGACAGGACGCCTGGCAGCACCACCAGGCCCTCTGCGTCAACCTTCACGCCCCAGGCCATCCTTGCAAAGCAGGGGGCACGCCGGAACCGCATGCTGCGGAGATCGAGCGGCCACCGTTTTCCACATACAACTCAACAAACAACAAAAGTTGATATGGTCGGCTCTGCGCCCACCTGCCTCGGAAACTATGAAATCTCGATGAACTTCTAGATCCTTCCAGCGACGGTTGTACTTGATACCTGGTGGTTTGTTTCATGGCTTCGAGCCTTCACAGGACAGTTGAGGCTGGGCGTGCCTTAGCAAAGCTCCGAAACCCGGTTGTCTGCAAAGGTGGTGCACATGTAGTACGATGCATCTTTAGCTTGCTGGTGCTGACCGATGTAACATGCTCGATGGGCGGCGGGTGCAGTTTGGGGGATCTGGGGCTACAAAGCCCAGCATCTCCACCAGTCTGGTGGCCGTGGCAGAAGACGAGATGAATGTGGCCGCTTCCTTGAGTATGTCAACCACCTCGGCACCACTTGGACCATGTTCATGAACTCTTGTTGACGTTGGGGGCAAGCGCCTTATAGAAGGCATGACAGGGTGCCAAGCACTTCTGGCAAGCATTCCAGAGGCCATTTGCTGCAGTGCTTCTCACCTCTTATCCCGCCCGGCGGCAAAGAACAGAACGTCATCCAGCTTCTCGTCAAGGGTCAGCTTTCGCATTGCGGTTACAAGCCTTGTCGTTGAACAGAACGCAAAGAGGCACTTGGTCCTACGACGTCCACCTCTTTTAGGAATTTTGAGCTGCTGCAAGATCTGAAAAATGCGTGCCCTCCCTCTGAGCCATGCTATGTTCCTGGCGTCCATCCTTGCTAGACTCTCCGTAGCAAGACGTCGTTTCTTTTTGTTCGAATTTTCCACCTAGCAGCTCGTCCTTCTTTGCCAGCGGCCCGGCTGCCTTGGTAGTCTCCATGACCGACACCCGCAGCTTCTTGCCACCGATGGTAAAAATCTTCCTGAGACAAGACCGGCAAACTGAGCGAACAGTTTCTGACAAGTCTCAGGCGTGCAACGATTTCGAAAGGATGAAAAAGAGCCCAAGACTCGTGTCCATCATGATTAGTTCTGACGGACTCAGATGATCAACGTTGGCCTTCGCCTCAAGCATGCCTTCCGCAAACTCATGGACATCGAGGCCTGGGCACTCTGGCGGCACACTGGGCGGCGGGCCCCTTGCCTCTTCACGAGTGATAGGGCTCGCTGAGACAGATACCGGCCAACTTGCCCAGCTCCGCCGCGTGGACTTTGTCAAGCTCTGTGGTGGTCGGTGACCGGAACTCCAGGGAGTCCGAGAGAATCCCTGCAAGCAGGACTGGCACCGCGGAGGTCCAAACACACGGACACCTGGTAAGTCACTGCAAGCCTGCAAGCATCAAGCCCGCCACGTCCTTCGGTGGGGCTAGTCCCCGGAGCTTGGCCCGTGCGTAGAGGATGCTAGTGGCAGAACAGAGGGGCCTCATGTCCACCTGCAGCAGGGCAAATTGCATGAAGTTGGTACTGTGTAAGTGTGCTGCCTATGCAGAATTGCAGGACATGCTGTCTGAGAAGGCTTGCCGGACATGGACTTGTAGCCTCCAAGGGCTCCGCGTTGGTGAGGCCACTCAGCTTGTGGTGATCGACGATTGAATGGATGCTGGCTTTCAGGATGCCCTGGCCAAGTGAGCAGCACCCCGGCAGCCCTTAAGAGGTTTTGGAACGCGAACATATATGTTATTTTCTCAGGGCATCTGATCTTGGCATCTGTGAGAGCGGCAGTCGCCTCTGGGAGCTCTTGCGGGTTGTTTGTGTCCACGACAGCCACCGCATCCTTCGAGAGTAGGCATTAACTAAACGCAAATACCACCTCGAGGCCAAAAAGGCATCCTGCGATCAGGCACAACACCGTGCAATAGACCTGGCCGGATCACAGTGCCCACCTTCGCAGAGACATCTGCCAAAAGCGGTGGCACCGCCACTCCCAGGCGTTTGAGCACAAAGTCCTGGGAGGTGCTTATCCTGTTTGAGTGTTCGGATTCGACGTTCAGTTGTCTAGGGTGATTGAGGGGAACTTTTGACGCAAGTACAGCTCTGCTTCTGCTGAAGTGTCCACGACCGGTAGTGTGCGGCGTGCGGGCAACTGTTCCTGCGGAAAACCCGGTGCTGGAATAAGCTTCAAGGCTCGCCAAAACCAATACCCCGGGTCAAGAATCGGTTTCTGGGTTCAGCTCACCAAGGCGATAAGCCGTGGCCGAGATGTTCCGAGCATTCAGCTCCCAGGCATACACCTCAAGCTGCCGACAGCTTCTCGAGTGCTTTTCATTCTGCAGTACAGATGCTTTGCACGGCCTCATTCACATGACAGTAAGGCTTCCACCAAGGCAGCTGTCACTGTGTCCGTGTCTGGAACCTTTGCCAGACCACAGAGTTCCAAAGAGACACTCAAAACTCGAGAGAGCCTTGTGGCCGAAGACGGAGAGGCCTGGCGAAGACGCTGAGGCCACAGGCAGCAGGCACCAAGCAAAGAGCTTCATGGCTGGGACAGCTCCGAGCTTGAGCTGCAACCACGGCAATCACACCAGATGCGGCAGCGAAAGGGTCGCTGGCACAGCCAAAAGTTACTGCTTGCCACCTGCCAATGCCCCGTTTCAGCCAGGCTGCCATCGAAGCAAAGTCTGTCCAGACTATGGACTGAGCTGCAACGCTGAAAGCCAAATGCAGAAAGGTCGGAAAAGTAACAACAAGAAATAACGTGGACCGACGGGCAGATTGCGCAGGGGAACAGCAAGAGGCCAGTGACACCTGCTGCCGAATCGGACAGCATGTCTTTTTTGATGGCTAGTGCAGACGACGCTGCACGCGTGGAAGAGCGCGTGTCTCAGCTCGGCAGGAAGCTCACCGTCTTTGGGTGCCTTACCTGGGAGATCCTAAAGGCCAAGTTTCTCTTTCAGCCCGTCCTCTCGCAATCCTTGGCCAGCAAACTTCTGAATTCGCTGCCAGCACTAGCTGCACTTCAGTTTCGGTACACTTCGCTTCAAAACATCTCTGCAGCTCGTTGGAGGCTGAGGCGGAGTCTGTAAACGTTGCCTTGGTGGACAGATTCTGGAGAACAAGCTTGACAACAGAACTCGTTGCACCGTGCGCCTGTTTAATGTTTGTCCCATTCTGTTGTTCTTCCCATGTTGTGCGCACGAGGGAGGGCATGTCCCTTTTTTTGCATTCCTTGATCGCACGATTTGGCCGGCCCTGAACGTCAAAACTTTCAATCACTCGGATCGGCTTGAGTCCTCTCGCTCTCGCTCCGCACCACCCGAAACGGAGGCACCTGCATGCGCCTCCTTTACAGGAAGAAAACTAGCTGGCTCGACAAGCAGAACTGACAAAGCAACTCGACAAGCTAAGTTGGGTGAAGCTGCCAGGTTGGAGAACGGCAGAATCATCTGTGAACTCACGCTTCATCCAGGGATCGCAGTAAGTTATCCATGCCTTGGCTCACAAGATGGAAGCTCTGGCGGTGCGGCCTGCACCGGAGCACGCATTGCTGCCTGGCTTGGCTCCCTGCATCCGATGCCCGAAGCATCATTTGGATGGCAAGGTCCTCCGTATCCTGGGAGCGCTCACTGATGGCCTTGACATGTTTTAGCATGTGTCAGCTTCCCGTACTGCTGGCCTTGTCTACCGCTTCTTCCGGCGAGGCATCGATGTCGATGCCCATCTGGTGCAGGCCTGCTTTGCGCAGGCATTCTCGTCTCTCGCGCAACCTTCGAAGCCAAACTCAGCCCCTGGGCCCTGGCCTTTTTTCAGGCCAGGCCAGTTGGCTTTGCTGTAAACGACCAAGCCTAGCTCTGGCGGTGCCAATGTTGCAGAAATTCGGAGCTAGGGGATACTGTGTCCCGTTAGCGAAAACTGAAGGCACCCCGAGAAAGCCCGAGCAAGCTCAGTTTTCTGCTTGACTCCGTCGACATGACATGCTTGAGGTGTTGCCGATAGAGTGCGACGACACAAATGCGCAAGGGTCCGGGCACAAGTATTCCTTCGGATCATCTGTCCCGTCCAGTGGGTCGAGCCTGAGATTGTCTCACTTGGTCCAAGTTGAAAGCATCCATGCCAAACAAATTACTAGAAGCCGAGGCTCCCAGTGTAGTAGAAATGGAACTTCAGCTCTTCCTGATAGAATTGCCAAGAGCATTGACGGCCCCTGGCAGAGCACCCTTGCAAAATCACTTTGCTCCTGCAGTTTGATGACCTCGAGGTACTGGTCTTCCCCCAGGGCCACAGCTCTGGAGAAGAGCTCGCGAGGCCACATGTTACTGCGCAGGGGATGGATAACAATCGTCACCCGCCATGCAAGCCTCTGTGACTATATGGGCTCGGCTTCAAGCGGCAACATACGCTTAGCCTACTTGGCCCACCCAAACTGTGCCTTAGGCCGTGGTAGTCCATCATGTCACCTTGGTGGCTTTGCAACTCTGTCATGGAATGCAAGGGTCACAGAGGTCGGACAACATCTCGGAAGCAGCCCCGAAACTAAAGACTGGCGAAAGTACAACGCAGAAAACACATGCTGTAGCACAGACGAGCCACGTGGGTGAATCGAGACCGCGGGCTTCTTCACATCTTTCCCCTGCACCTGATACGGGGGAACCAGACTGCACTTATACAGAAGCACAGTCACATCCTCTTAATTTGCAATGCTGCTATGGCAGGCCATGCCAGTCGGGAACATAAGACCAGAAGCAGCGGACTGCTGAAGGCAAACCTTGCTTGAGACAAATACCCATGGCCTCCCACTCTTCAACTGGACCTCCACTCCAGACTTTGGCTTCCTGCCATGTGTGCCAGTGTGAAGTCCCGAAGCAGGGAAAGGTGGCTGCAGAATGCAGCTGCTGAAAAAACATAGGCTATTGTCAAGAAGCTGTCCGCCAACTTCTACCATCAGTGTGTCTCGGCATTGCTAACAGAAAGTGGCGCTTGCCTTCCATGTCGTCATGTCGTATTCGAAATCCACCATGGCTCCAGCTCCTCTGCCTCGGCAGGAAACAGTGTGAGGTAACTGTGAAGCGAACAAGCCAGAGTGCGCTCCGAACAGAAGACTTAGCCACCGACCTGGCCCTACGTTAAACCTCCTGTCTACAACGAGCTTGGGCCAAGGTGTGCTTGAAGGCTCGTGCAGTGTCATGCTCTGCCGGCAGCTCAGTCTCTTGGCTCCCTCGAGCTTCAGCGCCGGCTGATTTTTGGTGACGTGCAGCGGGAAGAACCTTAAGTTGACCACTGTGTCTGGCGCTTTCCAGCCCACACGATGTGGGCAAACAGGACTAAAGTAAAAATCAAGGGATTCAATGGGTCAACTTTGCCTTCGGCAAAGTCGGTTTGCACATAGCACGAAACATCAATCCAGCGGGCTAGAGTCAGCTTGGCGCTGTCTTCTCTGGCGGGAACCATCTGTCTTTCGGATACATCACCTGACCGCTCGGGAAGGCTTTGGCAGTGATGAAACCTGGCGGGAGGCCTCGACTTCCGACTGATTGTTTTGGTATCCAACCACCAGGCCACACGATCTCCTGCTTGGGGCCTCCTTTCATCAAGCCGCGAGGTCTTCGGCCGGGTGTTGGTCGCAGCACTGATACCTCTGTCTGTGATCTTGCACGCTGTGCTAAGCGGCGACCTCCATCTTCGGGTGCATGGAAGGCCGCCGCCAAGTCACTCATCGAGGCATACGGTGAGAAGAGCCCCTTCGCTTTGCGAACAGCTGTGGGTCGTGCTGGGGCTCCAAACGTTGGTGCAGTGAATGGAGCACTCGTTTCTGATTCGACAGCCCACGGGTTGAAGGCATCTGGATCCAAGGGCGGCAATTCCACAGGTGGTTGCTTCAAGTGGTTTGCGCACTCTTGGAGGTCTTTCCAAAGCCTTGCGGACTCAATCTGGTACCTGTATCTGTTCCGCGACCAGTCTGCTCGTTCCTTTTCCCGAGCCTCTCTGTCCTGGATAAACCGACCCAGCCGTTCTAAACCCTTCGAGCTCTTTGCGTAAATATCTTTACATAGGAGGTCGTGATGACTGAAAGCTGGCTCTGGGTCAGCGACCCCGATCTTTTCGACGAAGTCAGCATGTGAGGCTGACGAGAGTTGTTGCATAAGTGCCAGCGCTCGTCGGCACAGCTAGGGGTGTGCATAAACATGCATGAACATGAAGTTGTTGCGTCACTTGCGAAGCAAGACTTCAACTACGAGCCTTGCCATGTGCTGCAGATGATGCAGTTACTTCCTGCTTCCTTGCTGCCTTAACTAGTGGCTCAAAGCTGGAACCAGGAGAAACTCGCAAAGCAAAGTCGGTTCTCGGCACATCCGCACTTTATGTTTGAATCGGAATTCAGAGCTCTGCACACATGACTCGCGAGCTTCCATCTTGTTGCCTTGCCCAGAATATGAATATTTTTCCTAAACGACTTGGCATCGGCTCTTCGCGGTCTTTCGCCACTCGCACATCTTCTCCGAGCTATTGTTCGTTCAATCCACGGCTCACACAAGAACAACTCGGCCAGCATGAAATGGCAGGAATTCCCACCTGGCCGCGTGCCAGCGAGACCCTAAATCCATGACACCTCCGATCTTCTTTGCAACAGGCAGCCACATTCTCACATAAAATGTCGTTGAAAGCGCCACAGGGCATCAACCACCACCAAGACGTTGATGAACCACTCGGCTTGCACCATGTTGACACATCAGCTTCAAGCAGTAGTCCGTGTTTTTAAACCACCTCTGGCCGGAGACTTCCGTCTTGAGATACCCTGTTATCCCTGTTCTGCGCCTTGACATGAAAGCTGTCTACATGTCTGGTCATGCTCCGCCAGGTATGGCACAAAGCTCACAAGTTCTGCAGCTCTCACCATGTTACATTCTAACAGTCCAATCGTGGCCCGGAAGCGGGACAAGGAATGGCCTTGGCAGCGAACACAGAAGATCACAGAAGGCTGTCAACGCTGCAGCAGCTGCAAGAAACCTGCCTGAGCATGTACAAGTCCGTACACGTCATGTTGCATCTAAGGCCCTGACGCCCGTGCGAGGCGTGCTTGTTGTTCCGGTGACAGGCCTACAGGAACACCTGTGACCTCGTCAGGCTTTTGGACGACACATACACTGTAGCATTGTCATGGCAAGCTTTCGAAGACACGGTCTGGCGAAGAGAAGTGGGAGACTCCCTGCCAGGCGCCCAACTGCGATCTTGAGGGACTGCTGCCGGCGCACGAGGCCGAACTCCTTGCCATTGCTCCCTGTGAAAAGCCTCATAGTACAACTCAGGCACACATCCATTGAACGACTCACAAAACGAGACTTCAGAAGCCGAGAGCAAAAGACAGGTGTGCTACACCCTGATACTGCACTCGTTGGCATGCATTCGATATCGGTGAACATCGTGATCATGTTTACAATGGGTTTTTTCCTGCTTGCAGGCTTGGTCGTCCGTCAGCCGGGGCAGCGTTCAAGCGGAGGTTAGGTAGAGAGATCCGATGTGTCACTTCTGAAGAATGACAATGGATTCCATCTGAAGTTGGTATAGTCATCGCTTGACGCCCCGCCTTTCCTTCCATACCTCTTCCATTCCTTTGAAAGAAATACCAACCCAACTGGCAAACTCGTAGCATTCACGATCCTCGTCGTTGTCCTCTTGAGCAGCACAGGTGGTGGAAGGAGGCACCACATTTGGCAGCTCCTTGCATGCCTGCTCATATGCCCTTACGAGCTGCTTTGCCACCTCCGTTGCGAGGGAGACGCAACGCTCGCCTTGTACGGCCCACTTGTCAGGGTGCCACTTTCTCGTCAGCAACAAATATCGCTTTCTAGCCGACCGTCGCTCTGAATGGCATCCCAACCAAGCTTCACACAAAGCCAGCCTGCCGATGCCCACAGTCCTTTCCAAAAGTTCGAGCAGTCTGGCAGGGGATTCCTCCCAGTCCATGTGATGTGATGGCAGGCCTTGACACATTTGTTCGAGTGTGCACCGTCTCTCCCGCAAGGCCCGCAGCTTCTCGTCTCGCTCTTGTGCTGCCCGCGCTTGAGCCTCCTGTGCTGCCTGCCGTCGTGCCTCTTGTGCTGCTTCGCGCTTTGCTTCGGTGCGGTGGCGGTGCTCTTCCTCTGCCCTCTCTTGCTCCAGCCGAGTTCGCTTTTGAGCAACCAGGATCCGCCCGAGAACGCCACGAAACCGCGCCTGTATCCTGGTGGCTGCACGTTGGAACTCGGCGCTACGTGGTGGTCCAGAGGGTCCAAGGCTCGGACGGCTCGGACCCGGACGGCTCGGACCTCGACTTCCATGCCTTTGACTAAAGACTTGTGCTTTGGGGAGACACTTTGCCTTCGCGGTTGCCTTTGGCATCCTGCTGTCGCAGCAGAGACATCAAGCCCAAAGCGGCCCCTGAGCTTCAATCTGACTTTAACAGCTTGGATACGAGGGCTGGCTGCTGTGTCTGACTCAGTTGGAGGGGAGCTCTTTGGGATTGCGATCGGAGTGAAACTCACAGGTCCTCACGGACGAGCCCGGGCCCACGGTGCAGGGGAGCAGGGCAAGAGCGTGTGCGGACTGCCAAAAATGTGCAGTGCCTGCGACGTCCCCATTGAAAGCTCTGAAAGGTTCGGCCGCGGGGCCTTTTCGAGCGCTCGTCCTTCGAGTCGTAGACGACGCTGCAAGCGTACCTCTGTCTACTTTCTCGTGCTGTTTGCTAGAAGCAGCTAGGAGTCCAAGGGACCCCTTCGTGGCTCTCATGAAGATGGCGATGTGTTTACCAGGGCTTGCGATTTGGGCAACAGGCCGTGGAGGCATCCTCTTCGGGGCACTTCCGAGCCCGACGTCGCAGCTGCTGTGCTAGGAAAGCCAGCTCCGGCTCCCGCCTTCGCGGCAGCTAACACGGCTTACCCCACCACACAGCGTTTGCTGAGGCCCAAGCCCTTCATCAGCCCAGGCTCCTCCACATACCAGCCTCCCGGGTTGAAGGCCTCAGCTCTGCCATGGGCTTCGGGGCACCTCTGACTGGACAAGCCGGGCCACCCAGCACCGAAAGACCACAGACCTCAGCAGGCAAGGAGACACCTGGAGCCGCTGCACTGCTGTGACACAGCTGCTCTGCTCCGTGCTGGCCGACCCCCAACACGGAGGACGTAGTCGCCTCGTGGCAGTGGCACCTTGTCACAATTCTTGCATCTTCTTGTCAGTCGAGGGCATGCGCATACCAATGACTGAAATAGGCCGTGCTCACGAGCATCAAACAAATGCTATTCGAGCGGATTTTTGCACTTCTCAGTTCGCGAGGCTAAACTTCAGTTCTCTTGCAGCACTCTGTTCCGAGCATCTTGGACACAGGCGGAGAAGTGGATTCCCCGAATTGGCTATGATCAAAGACTGCTTCAAAGTTTGTCATGATCATGGAACGCTTCAAAGTCGTGAGAACAGGATTGAGTTGAACAGGACTGCCAGTTTCCATAAGCGAGGCAAATCACGCTGGACAGCATGACTTCCAATTTTTTTCCTCACCGGAATCTTGGAGACTCCCGAAAAGGTGGAAACCAAAAACGACCTGGTGCCAAAATTGAGCCCCTCACCGGCTCAAGCTCGAAAAGCTAACCTCTCATCGCCTAAGCGCTTCATATTAGAGCCTGAAGCCCTAAAAACCTTCCACGCACCCCCAGTGGCCTGCAGTTTAGAGCCCCAAGCCCTGATTTATGGGCTAAACGCATCCGGTTTAGAGCCTGAAATTCTAGAGCTCACGGCATTAACTCTCAGCCTGAAGCCCGACGGACTAAGCCTGTCGTCGGCTTAAGGCCTGCTGAGCCAAAGAAAGCCGGCAGCATTTAGCGCTTCTGTTCCGCGCACTGTCGAACGTGCTTCAAATCCGGCTTAGAAAATTCGAGGCGCCGACTGGCTGACGGGCCTCAAAGTGATCGAAGACGAAGCGGTGAAACAAAGTGTGACCTGGCATGGGGCCCCTCTGTCGCTGGTTTCATCCCCACCGCATGACAACCGCTTCCCCACGCCACGCCCAAAGAAACACTTGACCGTCCGGTGCTGAAAGCTCATCCTGCGTTCCTACTACATGTACCGGCACAACTTTAAGAATGTGGCTCTCGAGCCTGTGTCACACCCTCGCATCACTTCATACCGTCGAGCCTACGGTTCCAAAAAGGCTACTTGTCCAAGGCCAGGGCGCTCTTGTAGAAGCTGGTCCTGTCGCAGACATACTCACGAAGGACGGTGCGAGCAAACCCAGCAGGACCGTGCCACGGCATCTGTACTCTGTCGCGCTACAGTACTACAAGCCATAAAGTGCACTCGATTCATGCAATCACCTCCTCATCTGTGGCCAAACCCACATCAGCTTCGCCTGAAATCTACTCACGAGGCATGCAGTCTCGTAACAACCAGCAACAGCAACAACAACAACAACTGCTTGCACAAACACGGCTGGGCAACACAAAGCTATTTTGCCGGGTGCCATCCAACGGGAAAAACTTCGCCATGACTACGTCGATCTCGTCGGTCGACAGCTACGGCTTGGAACATGACAGGCAATACTAACGGAGCTTCAACCTTTCACGAGGACTTCTTGGCATTGCCTTCATTGTTCCAGACCTTGAACCATTGAAACTCTTGCACCACCTCCAGCGGCACGCACTGTAGAAAAGTTGGCTCAATCCACGGGGAACAACTCCAACACCTCAGCTGGAATAGTCTTTATCAAATCTGCAGTGTGCCCGCTGCTTTGTGACTTAGCGGCCTCGTTTTCCAGGTTCAGGGGCTCTGGCAGGATGTGGAGCGGAGAATGATCTCTTTCGATGATCTCTCAATTGGCTCACATAGCTTCGATAGCCTCTGCCTTCTTCACAATTGCGTCGGCCTGCCAAGCGAAACAAAACGGCGTCACATCCCAAAACCCAATGTGGTTTAATCTGGCGCCTGCTTAATGGAGGCGATGTCCACCAGCTTGCCGTCCAAGGAAACGGCGCCAAGACCCTTTTGACAAACATCGCTTCCGAAGGTCCAAGAAGTGGGGTGAGGGAGAGGAGATTCAACGGTGCAGCGCTGATCGCTCCTCCTTCTGGGCCTTCTCCATCGCTTCCAGAACACCTGCGAGGCGATCTGTGAGTTGTCGACATGTCGTACACTATGTGCCGTGAACACCTGGTGAGCCCACACTCGTGATACCTTCGTTCTTGTTGCAGGAAAGAGTCGTCTGGCTTGCTTCACTTCAGCTTCCCCAGGGCTGAAAACCTCGTTCGCCAGAGCCACCTGTTCAGCTGAAGCTGGACCGCGTGCTGCTGCCTCGTCTTCATCTGATGGCATCCCTTCTTTGAGAACTAGAGTATGACATGTGCTCCCTGTGGCATCTTCAACGTGGCAGCACCTCGACCCCGGTCAACGACCCACCCCGCCCCAGCCTCAGCCGGTCCATCCCCCCTCCGCCCTGGCCCCAGTGAGAGAGCCGTGGGCCTTCTGCAGTTGCAGCCAGTCCGGCGGGCGGCGCGAAGCGTTTACAACAAGACCACCTCATCGAAAATTAGCATTTTGGAGCTGTCTAAGCCAGGCCTGGCTGGGATGGATCGCCCATTTTCCCTCCATGCCCAGGGCAGCTCCACGTTCGCATTGAGCCTTCCAAGGAACATTCTTGCCACTGCCACTGCAGAGAAAGGATTCTGCTCTGGCCTTGTAGCCGTCGGGGTCCGCGATGTCGCCGAACGGCCCTCAACTGCACCCGCTCGGCTTACATGTCTTCACGACGGACGGAGCTACAACCAACGGTGTCCAGCGGCCGTCAACGGGTCGAAGGCCGTTGGCACGTGCTGCCACCACAATCCTGCGACAAGCGCCCTGAAGCACCCCGCATCTGGACATGCCGGACCCATCGCATCCTCGCCATGGCGTAGTGCCAGGGGTCCCCCCAAAAGAAGTCTCGGGCCTTGTCGCCGTCCTGAGCAAGGCTCCCGCACAGCTTGAGAGCCGTTCGGTCGTGATCAGTCCTTGTCTGTCAGCACCCCATAGAGCTTGTTCGGTCCGCCAATGTTTGTGGTTCGCGACTTGGTGGATGCTGCATAGTCCTGCCGAGTATGGTCAACCTCCAAGACTGGTGACGTGTTCAAACCATTCCAAACCATGTCGAACCAAAAAACAGAATCTGCCAGTACATGGTCCACCATCGGTCCGCCACGCCAAAGTGGAGGGACTCGTTCCGCTTGGAAGCTGCCGCAATCTCGTGAATGTTCATCATACCTGATCACAGTAGCATGCCCGGCGGCACATCGTGTTTCGTTCAGCCTACAGCCTCAGCACTGCACCAAGAATGCAGGGGCTGACAAGGACCGTTCGTATCGGTGTCAGGTCACCCAGGGTGGCTTCGATGATAAGCCCAAATCCGATTTTCTTCTTGCGACCCATGAACTCCTGGCGAAAAACGGTATTCATTGCGCAGGCTCGAAACACAAGCCTGCTTCACACAGCGACAGCATGGTCGTCAAATGGCGAATGTCGAAAGCAGAACCTTCAAGGACAAAGTGCAACAATCAATGGTGACACTAACCTCCTTTGAAAACCAAACCCTTACATGCAACAAATCATTTCACAAGAATGTTGAGCTTGAGAGTGTGGCATGCCCAGGGATACAATAAAAGCTTGCGAGGCTTCAGATATTACGAACAGCTTTTACCTTGAACCAGAATCTTTTCCTTCCCACCAAAGAAAGCTTCGGAAAAGCGCAGCTCAGTTCTCGCACGAGTATCTTGAGCATGCTGCTGGGAACGGAATCACGGCGCCGTGCCTCCACCTGGCTGACTAAGGAGTCTGCCATGTAAACGTCCTCGCGTGAAGTCTGCTGCTCGGAGTTTGCGAATCTTCCGATGACTGAGGGATGCCAACCAACCACATCAAATGTTATGCACAAGTTGGAGCCCGTCATGTCAGCACCTCACACATTCTGAAGCACGCATGTTGCATGGTCCTTTCCATTGCCAACCATCGGGATGACAAACATGTCGCATCGCTCGCCCGCCTGTAGACAGGCAACAGTACTCGCGTGGGTTGCTCACCCAGTCTTATACATCTTGCATCGCCAAAACAGGCTGTCTTGAGTCGACAAAAACATGGTCGACAGTACGACGAGATGCACATAGCGGTAACATAATGTAACATAGCGCGCCCCGTATTTAGACAAACTGGGCAAACCTGCCTGCTCGATGATGTCAACGACATCGCGGTACATGTGGTGACTGTACAAGCCGTTGATTCTCACCTGATCTTGTCCGCCCGGAAGCATGGCACGTCACGAGCTTTCTGTCATCATACATCAGCTCTACAAAAGTTGGGAAGCTGCCAATCAAGATCCATGAAAGTCCCTGGCAGCTACGGTCTTGTTGCCGAAGTCGACTTCCTGTTGCGATAACGAGAGAAGAGCCTGCTAGGAGTCTTCAGCATCGGATAGAAGCGTCCTTCAGCGCATGGATGACATTCTTTCTGGCAACCTCTTTTTCTCCGATGGCAACCGAATCTTCAAGATCCATCACCTTTGCTGTGCAAAACTTCCTTCTTAACTCACGACACAACCGTCTTGACGCCATTCACAGGAAAATGATGCTGCGCAAATGCTGAGCTCAGTACTGAAGCATCTTAAGACAAATCAATGGAAATCACTTCCACTCCGAAAGTTTCCAACCACTGAAATCCGGAACTGTGCTGGCGAGGCTCCACAACGTCCGCTGCAGATTTCGCAGCCTTAGGGATAATCTTCGCTTGGGTGCCGGGCACATAGAGCTCACAGCCTGAGTACACCCGTCATACTTTGAGGAACATGTTTGGCAACTCTGTAGCCCAACCTTTTGCATTGACAGTCTGTGGCTTTTGGCACCACAGACAGAGCACTCTTTCCCGCTGCAAGAGCACAAGGTGTGAGGCTCCAGCGGTTCAATCTTGGGGTGGCCTGGCGAGGACAACTACATGGGGGACAAATGCCCCGACATGCAAGCAACAGTGAAGTGACAATGCACGAGGCAGTACTGTCAAATCAAAAATCAAGAGAAATGGAAGGCACGACGGGGGGGACTGATCAATGTAGATGAGATAACCGAAGGGAACCATTGTTCACGCTTTTGAACTGCGTAGCGGCGTTTTCTTGAGGAACTTCGATCTGGACTTCGGTTTCGCCACGAGACCACGACACTTCCCACAAGTACTTGCATGAGCCCCTGGAAGCCACTGCTAGTCCTTCCTGCGTTGCGATGGCGATGATGCTACGGGCTGTCATGGCAGGGATGAGAGCCAAAGTAACAACAGCAACGAGAATGGAAAGCAGGCATGTAGCAATCGATAACTCCATCTTCGAGTGAACATTGGAATGATACGTCCGTTCGTAGCAGTCAGCAACAGCACTGTTCCAAACGTTTTTGCCTCCTGCATTGCTGAGCGAGTCGACAGCGAGTGAGATGAAGTCACATACGACAAAATTCACACGCATGTCAGCAGACACTTGTTGCCGGCTCTTGATTTTGCGGTACTAGTAGTCAGAGGGCAAAGCTGTATGCCCTCCAGTAGGAACAAGAGGTCTTGGCACAGGAAGCACGGCCTCCTGAACGACGGTGAAGCTGTTCCTGCACCCGTCACACCGAACCAGCAACAACAAATCAACAGCACCATTTAGATTTAGATTCGACATAAACACACAAATCATGCTTGTCGATACAAATCATAAGACTGACAACTGCATTGGGGGCCTCGAGCTGCATAAATCTGGCCTCTACGCTGCCCGTACCGCTGCCAACTACCCTGGACGTAGTTGCGCCCGACGACCGATAGCAAATGGTGCGCTCTCGGCTTAAGCTCAACCATTCAAGCACTTGTCAAAGCCAGGCAACTCTTGATGAACAGATTTAGTCCATGGACTCAGGCCGTATGTGCTCGGATAAGTCATTCAAGCAAAACCGGTCCCCAACACCATTCCACCATCACTCTGTTCAGGACGTTGCAGTCATGGGCTTGTCCTGAAAGCTCCACTGACAGCAGCAGGCACCCGGCCGCTGCGAATGCCTAGGTGCAATCAAGGCAACATCGGCTCGAGCAGGTTCACACCGAACCCGGCCGAATCGGACGAGGACAGCTGCAAAAGCTCCACCCCGACAGGTTCCGTCACGCTGTTCAATCGTTAAACCTGAGACTGGAAACAACCGAAACCCGTAAATCAAGTGCCCAAAAAAATGTGCGTAAACCAGACTCGAAAGCCGCCGTTTCGGAAAAGCTCAAAATCTTAGTGCCACATCGGCGTGCATCTTCACAGAGGTCTGCAAAATCCATGTGGCACTGGCTTACCGGCACAAGCCTGCTTACGAAAGCGACTACAGCAAACACTGCAGCAGACAACCCAAATCCTTCCAGAAGTTGGCAGAAAGGCCGGATGCCTTGAGCAAGTCGAGATAGCATCCTGCCACAACAGAAGCCAGCAGGAATCAAGGAGGGAAGTTTCCACTGTCTTAAACCCTGAAAGCCTCTCTGTGGTGCACGCCACTATGGATCTGGAAATGGCATGGACGGAAAGGTGAAACACAGACTCCTTGCTCGGTGCGCATGGACGCATGTCCGCCTGAAGTGTACCAACCCGGTTTTCCCCCGCCATCCGGCCCCACCCGATCCGGGGCAGCAAAAGCAAAAGACGCAATACACCTATGCGGATCTAGTCATTATGGAAGTTAGCACGCTTCGGTCCGAAAAGTCATTTATGCATGTCATGTGGCGCGCAGTCATAAGAGGTGAACGGGGCTTGTCTACACAACCAAACACCACGCCGCGGGCAACTCTGGTAACCTCGTCGCTTCGCTTAACTTGACCCTCCGCGCAAACACAAAGCCCCGAGCTCCGTATCTGTTCTTGGTGACCCTTGTCACCTCGCTTCCACTCTCCTGCTCTCCAGCTGGCAAGTGCCTTTTGTCGGCCCGCACTGCCGAAGCCGCGCGATTTTCGATCTTAATTGACGTGGAAACACTACCTGCGAGGGGTCATGGAACTCCGAAGTGGCCAACAATTGCGGCTGCAGCAGCTAAAACAGGAAGCACCCACAGATGCTTTACAACAAGACAACAAGTCAAGCGCAGCGCATGTCACATGTTGATATAGGCCAGCGAGCAATCAACATGCAATCAACGTCTCAAGCCATGCAGTCATCAGTGAGGTCCTTGGACTGCGGAGCTCGCGAGATGCCACAGTCTGAAACGGGGAGACTCTTGAGCCAAAGCTTTGAATGTCAAAAGATGGGGGCACAAGGTGCGTTGTTACTGTTTTTCAACAACTGAACATCTCACCCTCACATTCGTGGATGGCATTCATATCGTCGCCATTTCCTACTGCTTGCAGTGCGCATAAATGCCAGTTCGAATCAAGCAATGGTATACTGGCGCTGTGTGGCCGAATACATCTCGATCTTCTCGTAGCCTTTGCAGGTGTCGTTACGGGGATCATAATTACACTTCAACTCGGGGCACTTGCAAAGCAAGCCTTCTATCCTAATTGAATCTAGGGGCCGCACCTTTTTCCGGGATGTTGCGCCTGGGAGCCCCGGCGATGCAAAAACTTCAAAAACAAACATGACATGGGATCCGTGGCAAGGCTTGAACCAGAAAGAACTCCGACACATGTTTGTCACCAGACGAGCAACTGACATGCCCATCCACAGTTCGAGTGCTGTGGCACATACAGAAAGTCTGCACTAAGCATTTGCACCGGAAGCAGGCCTCCCAAGCTGCGGACCAACAAAAGACATGGCCTGCCACCACATGGATCTTGACAGCACATGGATCTCGGCGGTACAGTCGCATGAAGCCATTGACTAACAAGTGCGCTGACATACATGGCCCACTGGGCGGTGATGCATCAATTTTGGAATAAAGCTGCCGGAGGTAATCGCATTAGAAACAAACCCGAGCCCACCAAAACCATGCATACAACACACATTCAAGCTGTCTGCCTCGAGTTCGGCGAGGAGCCTGTGCTCACCCACCTGCCGTCAAGCATGTGGCAACAAAACGCAGGCAAAGCAGATGTCGCGCCGAGGCCACATTATCAACACCATGATTGTGTCCCAAATTTACTTTGCCAAGCTTCTCCGTTTTGGATTGTGTAGCAAGGAAACCTGGACACGGGAACATAGTGCTTGATGACCTCAAATTGGTACTGTCTTCAGCCATCGCTAAAAATTGTGGCATCCCTCTGCCGTCTCCGAGAGCTGTTGCTGCCTATGTTGCACTGGAGGCTGTGCATACCTTTGCCATGGAGCAACAACCAGCAACGCATCAGGCACACCTTGTAGGGGTGTCCACAGCTACAAATATGCACCACTCAACCCCCTGGCGCTGCACCTGACTCAAAGCAGCTGTCTCGTGTCAAGTCGACACAGCTTCACGCACGGAAGCAGGAAAGACTGTTACAACCGTCCCAACAACATCATGACTCTCTAGCTCCGCCTCCAACCCCAGCGCAGAAGGAGGTGCATGGTGAACCATAAGCCTTACAAGGCATGTGTTACGCATCCAAAACTTATGATTTGTTGCCGACATCCTGCAGCGACACTTTGCGCCCATTTGCGGCCACAGAACAAAACAGAAAAGTACAGTACACATTACCCGCGTTCTGCGGTACATTGCGCTACCCATATCTGCCAGACTCGATTGATGCGCACTGAATCCATTGGCCAAGTCCTTCACTGCACGCCCCGGCTGTGGCTGAAATACCTCTGCCCACAAGTTTCGCATTGGATCATTCTACGCAACTGCAACATCGCAATCCAACGGAAGCTGCAGCGCACTCTTCCGCAACAATGTCACCTATCCTGCGAATTTGGTCCTGCACGCTGTCAGGCACATTGATTTGGAGAAGGACGACACTGCATGCAACGATTTCATGTCTGGTCACCATGGTCCTCCCAGAACTCTTGGTTCAAGTAATCCCGGGTTCGGTAAAAGAGCGTGGCAATGACCGGTAAGGCATCGTCGTCCTCAGCCAAGCGCAGCCTGGCACGGTCAAATGACGAAGCCTATCACGCCGGCTGGCTATCTCGAACGTTGACACAGCTACGTCGCACGCACGATACGGGGGGACACGTGATGGTCACATCAACAATGGTCACATCGACATTGCTTTCCCCCCGCATCAGCAAGGCTTCCGTCCAATAGACAAAACATCTGGTAACCAAGCCATTCCCCATTTCGGCGCCCGATTTCAGAAGCACCAACGCAAGCACGTTTTTGGAATCATAACAAAGCAGAACCAGCTATTCCGGCTATTCCCCATGTCAAGCACTCGATTTCACAAGCGCGCACTCCAGGCAAACATCAGTGCACAGCACAACCATGCCAGCCATTCCCCATGCAGAATATGAGAAGCACCGGTGCAAAACACACGTCACTGGAATCAGAACATGGCGGAACCTGCTATTCCCAATGTAGGTGTTCGATTTTACGAGCACCCAGTCGAGACCGAGACAATCAACAGTGATAACAGTGGCATCACACCACATCCAACCCAGCCATTCCCCATCTAGACGCTCGATTCCACAAGCGCTCACTCGAGCCGCACATCAGCTGCATTGACAGCACATCACAACCAGCCATTCAGAGGAATGCCTAGAGATGACCGTGTGTCACGGTCAGAACGGTGAAACAAGCTTTACGAAATTAAAAGGTCAATGTGTGGCGACCTAGACAAGCAAGCATCCAACCCAGCCATTCCCCTTCCAGACGGTCAACTCAACAAGCGCCTACTCGAGACGCAGATAAGTGGCATGACAGCACATCAAAACCAGCCATTCCCCACATACACGCTCGACTTAGCCAGCGCCCGCACCAGAAACACATCAGCGACCTCGCATCAAACGGCAAATCAAAACCGGCCGTTCCCCTTGTAAACGCTCGATTTTGCAAGCACAAGGCAAGCACACAAAGATACCGACAGGACAATTCTCCATGTAAGTTGCGGCAAACTCAGCCTCAGCAATCAAACCTCAACAATTTCGAATCAACGTTACTGCAAATTCCCAAGCCGACGCTCGGTGATGCGATTGCCCTCGGTGTGGAGTGGGATCCAAAAGGCATGATGCGCCTGAACTGTGTCACCGTACAAGCCTGGAGGCACAACGTCAACGGAATGAAAAACTACCGGGTGCGTGTACCGAAGCAACACACCTTTTACCTATAACCAGCGCACGTCGGGGATGCTCCCCCGGTCTTTCGGGCATGCGAGCGGAACATGTCAATGTGAAACTCCTTCTTCAAGACGGCGAGGTCATCGAATTGCTCGCGGAATCTTGCACGCTCCTCGCGCAGGCCCGCGTTCCAACCGAGGTGTGCAAAGCGCTGCCATGGCCAGCCTTATCGCCGTACGCAAACCAGTATCGCGACGGGTGACACGTTCCGCCGCTTGGTCTCCAAAACGCTCACCAGGGAGTGGGCCGCCAAGTTTGACGCACTGGCGGCTCACGTGCGCTGGACGGCCGAAGCGCCAACGACAGCATGTCTCGCGCAGCGTTCCTCGGCAAACTCCGCGAGGTGGCCCCGGAGTTGCTGCCTTTCGTACGCCTCTTTTACGGTAGCCCCTCCACGTTTTGTTGGTGGGACGAGCTGTATGCCCTTGGGCCCATTTCTCGGACGCGCTTCATCCCGACGACACACTTGTTGCCTTCTTGGACGACCTCTACGTGATCACATCGCCGTCCCGCGCGAGGGCCGCCCTTGACGAGACGGTGCGTGTCCAACCTCGGCAAGACCCCGGCTCTACCGGGGATCGCGGAATAGGGCGAGGATGTGTGGCGTGGCGACAAGCCCGACACCCAGCGCGGCGTCGTCGTCCTCGGTTCGCCTGTGGGGCACCCGGCCTTCGTGCAGGGCTGGGCTAAGGAGAGGTTGCGCACGGACCAGTTACGCCTGGACCAGTTACTTACAGTGCGCCTGCTGCAGCCTTGCGCATCCCCCAGAACCAACCATGCCATCCACACGATGCCTCCCTCGGCGTCTGCGGCGTATGCCAGAGGACACGACGATGCCATCTGGGCGACGCTTCAAAAAATGCTGGGGGGAGTGAACGACCGCGAAGCCGTTCAAGCGCGACTTCTGGCCGCTCTCCCGGGGCGCTAGCCGCTAGGCGGTTTGGGGTTGCAGTCTGCCCAGTTGACTGCTCCGGCAGCGTGCTGGGCCTCCTGGGCGGACGCTTTGCCCGCCTTATGGCGCTCGATCCTCGAAGGCGCCCGCCCCGTCCTCCCAGCGAACCCCGGCGCCGGAGACTGGCCGCACGGTTGGCAATACCCTGCCTCGCGGACCCTCACCGAACACTCTCGCGAATGTGTGGTCATGCCGTCCTTGCCGCCCAGTTCCCGTGCGCTGCTTCGCTTTCAAGCGGGGCCGCATGCCGGAGCATGGCTCACAGCTATACCCTGCGAAAGCATGCCACCACCCTCCCGCCCAAGCGATGCAAGTCGCTTCGAGGCGACGCTTGCGCTTGGCACTGCCGCTGTGTGCGAGTCGCTGTGGCCCCAACCCACGGTGTGGTGAAATGGTCGACGCCCTAAGCGACCATGCCATGGCATGCCCCAAGACCGGTTTGCTGGCTAGACGTGCGAATATTGTCGAGCGGGCCTGGGTACGCGTCGCCCGCGAGGCCGTGAGTGCCGAAGGACAGGTCGTGCCGCGCAACAATGGCTCGCTCGCACGGCCGCCCCAGAAGGTCGCCGGGCGCCGCAAAAGGCCCACGTATCCTGAGCGTGCACGAGTCCAGAGAGACTGTTATTCGTCCTCGGCTCGGAGATAAACGGACAGTGGAATGAGGGGTCGCAGCGGTTCGTGCGCGACCTGGTCCGCTTACGGGCACTCCGCGCACCTCCCGCAGTGAGGAGCGCGACGACCGCCGGCTGAGCGAGACGCCCGTGGGGCGATCTTTCTGTCGCGATCCAGCTCGCCGTCGCCAAGCGCTTGGCCGCCCCTGGCCAGCTGCTCCAACAGCAGGGGCCGAGTGACGGCCCTTCCTTGGAGCGTGTCCTCGACCTTGCTGCAAACGAAGGGGCCAGTCGCCGGGACCGTCGTTGGTTGTAGAGTCGACTCAGTCGTGCAGGCATAAAAAACCGCGAAAAAATAACAAAAAAATTGATGTTTGCACGTGCTTCGTTCCAGCGTCCCCCCAATTTCGAGGAGATTGAGCTCTGGGTAGGTGGCTCGCTTGCGCCGTTCAGCAACTCGCAGCGTGGCGCCGTCGTGCGATGCGGTGCAGGTATGTGGCTGGCCCGTTCGGGTCAGCGGCGACACAAGGATACACAAGGGCCGCATCGCAGCGCAGCGCCCTGCCCATCGAGGTAGCTCGTAGATCTCCAGATCAAGGCGGCGCTTGTCGTCCGAGGCAACGCCAAGAGCAGTGGCGATGGAGGGCCATGTTGTCGGACTACCTGGCCATCACCCCTGGCTGCTTCGCGCGCGACCTTCACCCATGCCCCTTTCACGAACGACTGTTGCGAGCCCTCTGCGAGGGCAGGCCAATGCATGATCTGCGAACTAGTCGAGAAGCCCGGAAGAGGGGCCGCAGCGATTTGCGCGAAGAGGGAGTGGGAGACGCAAAAAGCTGCTGACTTCGCTGGTGTGGCTGCTAGCCAAGCAAATGCGTGCGGGCCAGCTTGAGAACGCCAGAGCGCGCAAGGCGCCGGGCGGCAAGGTGGGCATAGAAATGTGCGCTCGCGGGTGTGAATGTTGCGAGTTCGCGACGCAGTACCACGTCATTCGCCGCTGGTGGACTGCTGGTGCCAGGCCGGGAACTCCTGCCAGCCTTCAGCTCCTGGCACGTCGCTAGCCGGGTTGCAGCATAGAGGAGAAGCTCAAGGGCTCGCTGCTGTTGGAGCAGGAGCTTTCAATGCTCTGCTCGGATGCCAGTCAACCGAGCTGCACGACTTGAGTCGAACCTGCCGCTAACCTCGATACGAGGCGGCATCGCCGTGCGCGGGTGTGCTCGGGTAAAGTTTTTTCGTAGGTTTGATGTCGTGTGCGCACTTTGCGTTTCGTGCTCGAAACACCACTTCAAGAACAACGCTGTGCATATATAGTCAAAGTCAAGTCAAGTCTTGTGTGCCATAAGGCGGCCTCTTGGAGGAGTAGGCAAAAGAACGCAACCCTACAATT